CTGTCGGGATTCGAGAGAGAGGGAGTTCCAAGGCACAACAGGACAGGTGAGTTCACAAACGGGATCGGTGAGAGTCCAATGGTAATGGGTGGTTGACCCTAGTGGGGAACCGGCTGCACCTCGGTATGTCAGAAGGCACAGGAGTAGGTGCGCGTCCCAGTAACGTTCGTGACCGTCCCTCGAGAACGCCAGAAGGAGGGAGAGTAACGTGCGGTGCATCCTTTCCATGGGGCCGTTGCCTTCAGTTGGTAGGAAGTCGCGTGTGTTTTACAGACCTTGAGGGTCTCGCTGACGCCCCTCAAAAGCTGGTATTCCGAGGTAGCTCCGCACTCGGAATGGAAAGGCAAGGGAATGCCCCAACGGCTCTTTCAGGTGCGAATGAGGGCGTTTGTGACCGACGTCACGTCCTAGTGAGCAAATGGCACAGCCTCGACCCACTTGGTTAAGTAGTCCTACATCACCAAAATGTACTCGAAACCACGTATCGAAGTCGGCAGGAGTTCTATCATAACCAGATCAACGATTTCACCGGAGAATCTGGTGGCCATGGGTCGCATTGGGGTATGGGATGAAGGGATGGATGGTTTGAACGCGACGCACCTCACCCAGGACTGGCAGAAGTGATGGACATACAAACGTAACTATGGTCACCAGAAGCGGGCGCGAGCAGCAAGCTCCGTGTAGTGTTGGCCGCAATGTTCCAGTGCTATGTGGAGTTCGTTCAGGATGGAGTCGATTATGCATCCCGGTACGATTGGGCTCAATAGCTTGGAGGTGGGATCGCAGAGTGAAGTGCATGTCGTTTTCTATGTTGAGGGGGAGCCTTTTGTCTGGATTCCGCCACTTCCGTTCGAATGGTTTAGGCAACCCCTGGCTAAGGTGGTAGTAGATGATGGCGGTGTCTGAGTCCTTGTTTTGAGCTGATGTCCGGGTGTGGTATGTAGGCTTGGTCATGACGGTCGCACACATACTCCCGGTGTGTGGGCTGGTCTCCAGGTTGGTGTCAGGCTGTAGGCGGGAGAGAACATCCGCTTTGCCATGTTTGTGGTCTGGACGGAAGTGGCGTAAAAAGTTGAAACCTTGGAGGACTTCCTTCCAGAGGAAAGTTGATCGTTGGGGTCTTTAAAGGTATAGTAGTATATCTTGGGTGATAGGTAGTGCCCTTGATGACCCTATTGAAAACGGTACATAAAATATTCATGTTAAAACACATGTTACTAAAATGGTGTCAGTAACATATTCTTTTATTGAAAAAGTTTTTATGCGGTGGAACTGCGACGGTTATGCAGGCGGTCCTTTCCAAGTACATTTTAGATTATAAGTGCAACTATATACAATCATCAGAAAGTGCAGTCATTTGTGTAGTTTGAGGGAGAATATTTCAGTAAATGTGCAGGTATGCATTAAATAGGGAGTGAAATCAGAAAGTCCTGCAGTGAGAGTTCTCGTTTATCAAAGATCGGACGATCTGACTGTCTTTTGAATTCAATCATTGTGTCAGATATCACAATTTCACATGCGAATGGGCTACACGGTCGAACCACACACTGACTGAATGAAGTCTTCCGATAGTCTAGGCATGTGCGCTCCCGTCTGACCTTGTACAGATGACCGCGCACGTGAGCCATGGTCCTCAAGTCAAGGAAACCTTCAGATTTGAGCTAATAATCATGCCCGCGGATAATGCAGAATGTCCATGACAGGACACATCTCATTTGTCTCTAGGGTAGGTGGGACAAATTAGGCTGGATCAGTCTTTCGGGATGTGACAGAGTCCTGAGACCGTCTACTAGTTTTGTCGCAGTCGTTGCGCCTGCTTTAAGGTATCACTGTCTTTCTTCATCCAGGGCATCCATGCTGGTATTCTGTATTCCAAATGCGGTCTGACGAAAGTACCGCATATCTGCGCGAGGAGTTCGGGAGGAAATATTACGAAGGCAGCCTAATCTAGTAGAGGATACTGGTTGCCTTCTGAACGGCTCTTTTGCGGTGCTCGGAGGGCAGCAAGTTTGAACTTTCCCAGGCACCTAGGTCTTTGTGCGAGTCCACTTCTAGGCGCAAGACTACATATGTAGACATATTAAACGCCTGCTTGACCATGCAGCCAACTTACCAGCATCTTCCTGTAGTTTCTGAGAGTCGTCAACACAGCCAATTGTTTTCAGACCTTTATATCATCAGCAAACATAATGCTGTAGCACTCAAGATCTGCAGTCCAGACGTTTATATAGATGAGGAAGAGGAGAGGAGCTAAAACCGAACCCTTTCGAACGCCGCTTTCTACCGGTACCCATTCGGATGCAGTGGTATCATCAATTACTCTTCGGAGCCTGCATGACAGGAAAATTTTATCTACTTAAGAATGTTGTCCTGCATTTCATACTGTCAAATCTTTTGTAAGAGTCGTCCATGAAGAACGCTATCAAATGCCTTTTTGAAGTCGAGGACGATGACATGCGCTGGACGGCCCTGGTCTGTGGCTTTTGTCCATTTGCCTGTGAGTAAAGGCTATTCGTAAGACATGAGTGACCACGACGAAATCCGTGCTTAGCAGCACACAGTAGGTTCTTCTGCTCCAGATGTCATTAAATTGCCTTAATAAGTCCTTCCATGACCTTGCTCAAAATGCGGGTTAAACTAATAGGACAGTAGTTTTCGGGTTCCACACTATACCCTCCTTTTGTAGATTGGAGAAATGACGGCACTTTTCCAGTCCTACGGCAGTTCATCTTCTTCCATGAACTTTTGAAATATCATGGATACCGGCTCGCACAATATGGCAGCCAGTTCTCTAAGGACAAGTGGATGAATTCTATCTGGACCAGACGATTTGGTAGGCTCCAATCGGCGTAATTGGGGTTTTATCAACGGCGGTGAGCGGTAAAGCTT